TAAATTTATATGTTAACATTTTCTGTTCTTAATACCGTGCATGAGTATTTCTTCGATACTGTTTCATTTCCTGTATAATACCTATTTTATTCTCACATCACTTCCCACATTAAACGAAGGAACAATCCAGTGATTGAAAACGAAACGATAGACTGAGCATCTTTATTAAGATGCATCTTTCTAACACAATTTTCACAAAGCTCAAAGTTGAAATAACATAATTTGCAAATTTTCTAATGAACTCGATATTCAGATTACGAATAATTATTTTTATTATTTTAAAAACTGAAAATTACCTTCAGCCGTGTTTTGTTCTTCAGACAAACCAAGCATAAGAACCGATTTGAAGTAAGAAAGCTCAAAAGATTTCAGCATAACGCTATGCCCGACCACCTGCCAGAACACAAACGTATCCAACGACTATAAATTATCCTTCAGAATAAACATACTCTTTTACCTTCATAAGAAAGAACGTTCAATTACTTCCGAATTCTTTTCGTATGGTTACGCTACGTTTAGGGAAACAAAGAATTCTCTAATCGTTGCCACATCTTCTATTCAAATACTATAATAAAGCTAGAACGATGTATAAAAAAAAAAATTAAGCAAACAAAACAAAAAAGAAACAGTTTTTCACAGACGATTGAGTATTTCTCATTTAATTAATTCAGTTCTCACTTCGGGACTAGGCAAATACATAAAAACTCAAAATATCTGCATTAAAAATTACGAAGTAAATCTTAAACACTTATTTCCTCGAAAAAATTCCAGAAAGGATTAAGCATGATTTAATTGGCAATAATAAATGAAGGCGTTATCTTTGTTGTTGCAAAGTTTCTCTAGATTGGCAACAAATTCACTATTCTGCTGTTTCAAATGTAAACAAGCAATGGCCGGCATCAAAAAAATTATTAGGCTTAGCGGCACTTATACAACTTTAAAATTGTTTATAATTCTAAGCATATTGCATACAGATTTACTAAAGGCATACAAACCTTAACCGGAAGATAAGAACAACATAATTCAATCATTTTTAAAGCAAAAAATGTACAATTTACAAACATATAAGAGTAAAGAAACTGAGATCACCGAGCCCGGTAACAGAGTGGATATATATACATAAATATATTTATATACGTTTGTTGCTGCCGATTGCAACCAAAATACGAGGTGAACATCTACATGTTATAACAGTCCTATATACAAAAGTTGAACGTTCGGAGGCTACTCGTTTTTGAGTTATGCCAGATAAGTACGTACAGGCGCCACGAAAAATTTTGTTTAGAATTCATTTTAAATGCAGAATTTTAATTTTAGTGTAGAGTCATTAAGTTTTATAATTTTTTGGAGAAAAGGAGTCTTTTATTCTGTCCTTACGTACAGATGTCACGCAAAAACACCGTTAAATTGCATTCGATAGCGGTCAAAATGGATATTTTCGTTGAAGTATGCTTCCTGAAACTTTTCGCCATTACAATACTTCCTTTTCACGTCGCACAAGGAAGTAAAAATTCATACTGTGAAACTGAGTGAGAATTCTTTGATCATGTTGCGAATATGAATTTTATTTGCAGTTAATGTGTAAATATGTGGTTTATTTGTATTTCTTTTTGTATGCTGTTTAATGTTTTAAGAAACGCATTTCCCATTGCAAAATACTAACAGAATAAGCAAAATTCAGTTAGAAGTATGGTATTAATGTTATCTTTAAATATTGAAAAAGCATTTTGCTTGTGAATTCGCCATCGAATTTTTAAAGCTCTCCATCTAAATAATATTTTACATTAAAATAATAGTATTTGTACTTAATAAACACTTATAGGGTCATTAGGTTATTTCTGATGCGAGAGACATGAAAAATGCGCAGTGCTTTTGCCGGGACTCGAACCAGGACTTCTGGAATACGCGCCGAGTGTGTTATCTTTACATGACGAAAGAAGGAAAAAATACCTTATATACTCCCCCCCCCTCTTTTAAAGGGCAACTGGGAATTAGGAGACTCAAACGCCAAATCCTGATGGTGACGAATTATTGTCCACCCTCTTTTAGTTCGGGTGTAGAGTCATTAAGTTTTCTTTCTTTGAAGCAGGAGACAACAAAAATGAGCAAGAACACAAACAGGTCCTTCTCTAGGACTCGAACTTGGACATATCGAATACGCGCCGAGTGTGCTCCCTACCGTTACACTACGACGGCATGCTGGAAGGAAGGATAAAATAGCTTTTGTACACTTTTCCTCCTAAAACAATCTTCAGTGCCTAATTAACCCTTTAACTGTCAAGTTATTTTGATGATTTGGGTACACAAATTGTCAAATTTTTTTATTGCAAAAACCAAATGTTTAGTACAAAATAAAATATACTTAAGTAGTTAAAAATTGATATTTTGACGTACATGGGTAAAATTTTTAAAGTTTTGTAGCCACTGCATATTTTCTTTGAGGCGGCTGTCACTCAACATGGCAGTTGCAAAGTTCGCTTCTAGTGGAGCATTATTTTCTAAAAATGAAAAAAATTAACTATTTTCTAAAACATAAATAAATATAAGTGAATACCTATTAGTAGTTCAGTAATTCAGTCTTGTGTGGTACAACTGGAAACACTTTTCCAAGCACAAACCAACTCCACAATCACTACACCAGAATCGTGATTCCTTCCTTATCTTTTCCCCATTTTTATCCTTTTTCGAACAACACACTTTGCACTGTCTTGTAGGCTCACGTTTCGCAGGAATAGGAGGAAAATGGGATATAAAATGTCGTTCAGTAAGACGGGCAGGGTTATCTATTGTAGGTGGTCTGCCAACATTCTTTTGTCCAGAAGCTGCATCATCATATTTATGTAAAAGCTCTTCTACAACTTGGATTCGAAATTCTAAAAATGTAATACGTTTCCCAACTACATTTTTATAGAGCAAATATGAGTTCCAGAGTACCTTGTCTAGTAAATGTAAAAATATCTTTTTATAATATTTTTCTGACGTTTTCGGATTGTTGGATGAAAGGATATTTCCTAATCACAGCGATCTACACCACCCATAGTTAGACTGTAGTCAGAAACAATCTTCGGCTTGAGTATATTTTCATTTTTTTATTTTTGAGGCTGACCATGGAAGTATCATGAATACTGCTCATCAAACACACAGCCTTCATCTTTGGTTGAAGAATCTAAATCATCTATATAACGTTTCAAAGAACTGGACGCCATTTTACAACAAAAAGATCCCATGCACTTTGAACCAAATTAAACCTCTAACGTTTGAAATCTTCAGTAAAGTGCTGTCATCTATTGAACTGAGCGCACATTAACTTTTCCCGAGATACAGTCGGGTTTGACAAAGAGATGAAGCCGAAATAAACGTCTCCCGATATATATTCGGGTATAACAATACGATGCACTCAAAAAAAAATTACCCCGAGTAATACTCGGGCGTGACATTTTCGAACACTAGTGCTGTGCCCGAGATTATCTCGGGCATGACAGTCAAAAGGTTAAAACTTTGTGTAATACGTAATTTATTAATTACTCATAAAACATGGAAAATGTTACATAGATGCTTTGGTACTTACTGTAGGAGTATGACTACAATTTTCGACTTGGCGACGCATGTGGCACCTAAACTTTAAGTCCCTATATCTAATAGCGTTAGAAAGGTTATTACGAAAAACGAATAGCCTCCAAAATAGGATTTTTGAGATATATCTCTTGCATGTTCTAAAATCTGCAACATGTTTTATATTCTAAATATAGTACGGATCATGAGAAAGAGATCTGTAATTATTTTAGTAACTGACTTCATTTTAAATTTTTATTAACTGACTCTCTTTACAAGCTAGCAATCTTGCATAATTATAAAGACGTTGATGTAAAGTATGCATTCGATGCAGCGTTTCGCTTCCTTGTACGAAGTTGTTGTCGCTCATGCTCATTTGTCTGACGTAGTCAGCCCAAGTCCATGAAATTCCTTGTGGGAAGGAGCGCTAGATTACGCCTGCCGTTGGCAACAGCCTTGAGCATCATTAAGGTGGCAGTGCGATTTAGCTCAGTTCGCCCCCCCAACTTTGATGGAAAGCACCCCCCCGGGGGGAAACGGATCTGAGGGTCTCCCACCCCTCTCTCCTTCTACCAAGCCACACGAGAGGATTTTCAGATTGTCGCATATCCGGAGAGCCTCCATGCCGCACCGACACTATACATTTACAAACATCCATGTCTTCTCCGGTATTCGAACGTCACGGCAGTCAGCAACGCTAACCATTATAACGGTTGGTCGGGCGGTACGAGAAAGTACGAAGTAAAGGAATTATTATAACCGCGAACAATTTAGGGTATAATTTTTAACAGAAGTATTCCCGAATCAATTTGGATGATTTTTTTTTTTCAGACATCTGTACATATGGACCGAATAAAGGACTTTTTTTTTCATCAAAATGCACTGTGAATTTGATTTCAAGGAGACTCAAAAGGGATTTTTTTTTTCTTAAGGTCTGCACGTATGTATTATGTATGTATCTCGCATAGCCGAAAAACGATTAGTCGTAGAACGTTGAAATTTTGTATATGAGACTGCTAACATCCAAATCGGCGGAATCAGAAGTGTATATATATACATATCAGCTTCCTCTCAATATATTATCTCCAAGAAACTTTAGCGCTAATTTAAGACTATCTTTAATAGAAAAGAATACTTTTTACAACAACCCTCTTTCAGTCCATCACTGAATACAATTAATTGCATTACCAGTCGTTTCGTTTTAAAATTTTTGCAGTCAATTAAGAATATTTTAATTTCCGGAGTTTGAACTTTAAATATATAATTAACCGCTTTCATTAAACATTAATTTAAATGATTATATCAATTTTGACCTTCTTTTGATTTTGAATAAATTTTTATATTAAAAAATGTATAACGCTTGTTTTTACTTTGAATTTGAGTTAACTTCATGAGCAACTTATATATAAGAGATTATTTACTAAATTTATTTTGTTTTGTTTCTACAGAATTCTACAAAATTTCTACAGAAATCTATAGATTGCAGTGAATGAGCCATATATTTTCGGGCTCATATATCTGAGTCTGTTTCTATGAACTGATAGAAATTAACTTGGCATATGAATAAGTATCAGATTCGGCAGTCACTCGATGTAGTCCAGCGTTGACGTGCATCAGAAGGGATGCGACCATAAGAGGCAACAATACGAGCTGGGCACAAAGCTGCCCTCAAACCATTAAAATCTTCTTGATATGTGGTCACCAGATTTCGGATGTCTTTCGATGGCGAAGTCTGATATGTTGTTGGGAGTTTCTTAGGTTTTACCTGCAGAAAAAATATGAATGGATCCTTACAAAGCTTTTTCACTAAGTTAGTAAACGGACATGATTAATATTATGAGTGGAATGAAGAATTCTTAAATGAAATATGAATGATGACCTTTTATTTACAAACTTTAATTACAGTTAAATTTTTATTCCAATTCTGTTCCATCTCTTATGAGTAGAAAAAAAGTGTAATTATCATAAGGAGAACGTCCTATGTATGTATGTTTGGTACCTTCTCAAAAATGAGACTACTTATATTTCTCCTATTTTCCATTACTAAATTCATTTATTTTACTTCCTAATAAATTTAATATTTAAAATAATATGATATAATTAACATTAAGTTGTTAGTCCTGAAGAGTCGTTAGTCCCTAATGGGGTATTACTCTCGGAACGGCATTGTATGCTGAATCACTAAACACGGAGTATCCCTTTTCAGTTTGTTGCCACGAAATATTAACACTTTGCTTCTATTGCTCAACATTGTTCGTCCGAAAATCACACTTTCAATTTTTCTGCTGCCAAAATTATTCAAAAAGCATCTTCCATTGGAGAACTGGATTTTCTAGAGGCATTTCACATTAAAAAAAATCTTTCTGTTCTAGTTAACGATCCTAATTCAATCCATCTTTGCCTTCGGCCTTTAAAGAAATTATGTTTTAGTTCTGGTTTCACCAACAGATGGCGCCACTTGCTTACTCTTGTCCAGGCTTTTTTATCTTATCTAATCATTATTTCCTATCTCGTTCATTTGCGGTTTTGCAGCTGAGGATGGTGGTTCGGTAAAACCATCGACACTAGTCCTGTAAAAATTTTGAAAATATAACGCTGATTTTTGTTGTTTGACTTCTGAATTAGACTTTGTATTATATTTAAAGAAATTAAGTATGAATAAATAAAGAATCTGCGTGAATGTATGTATGTTTCTCGCATTGTGAAAAAAACAACGGTACCTAGAGCAGGAAATTTTTGAATAACCTAGTCCTGCACCCGAACGTGGGCACTTGGAAGCTCGAATTTTGAATTTCGATTTTTTTTACTATCTAATTCATATTTTGTAAAATTTAACGAATTTTTTATCAACGAACTCAATGATTTCAGAGTGGGCAAGGGCAACGCTGCACGATATAAAACATTTTTATCTCCTGCGCCCCAAACTCTCTTCTGGAAATTCTTAAGATATGCTGTTTTTAAACGTTTTGTGATTTTGCTGTTGAACCGAATTTTATGTGGCGTAACTATACCAAGAATGTGATGTTAAATAAATGTGTTAATAAATAAAGTAAACACTCAAAACGTTAATTATAAGTATTCCTCCCACCTTCTTAGCGTGCCTTCGTGGTGTAGTGGTCAGCACACTGCGCCGGTGTTTCAGAGGTCCGTGGTTCGATACCCGGCGAAGGCGTTGCTAATTTTTTTATGACTCCTGCTTCCAATTTACCTAATGTCTCTACAGTGGCGCCCGAACTAAAAGGATATTGGATGATGATTCTCCTCACGCAGGATTTGACGATTGGATCCCCTAAAAAAAAACCAGTCGCCCTTTAAAAGTAGGAGTATATAAGGTATTTCTCCCGGCTTCCTAGCGTGTCTTCGTGGTGTAGTGGTCAGCACGCTAAGCCGGTATTTCAGAGATCCGTGGTTCGATTCCCGGTGAAGACGATTGCTCATTTTTCATATTGCCTGCTTCCAAAAATCCTAATGTCACTACATAATAGTAAAAAGACAATAAAAAGGAGTGTTGAGAGCTGCTATTATAAACTGAGAGAAGACTGGAAAAAAAATCAGAAAAATGTAACACTGCATCGGAAATTCTAAACATACACTGCTATGCCATTTTTAAAATTTTTGTAATTTTGCTGTTGAATTACGTATGTGTATGGTGTAAATGCGAAGGAAATTATGTTTAATAATAAAGCGAAAAAGAAAAAAAAAAAAAAAAAATAGGTTAGTAGGACTGAGTGCATCAGAAGACTTGTAGACTGCGATGCCCATGAATAAATGGATGTTCTTGATTATAATTAATAAAACGACTCTCTCAATTTGTACTTTAATTTCTTTTCTTCGAATACACAACCAACCCGAAATGAAATGTATTAAAAGCCGGCAGAAATTGTTATGTGTAATGGCCACCCTTCTGAACGGAATTTTTCGTCCATAATGCTGAAAGTGTTAACTAAGCGTGAGGTTTCCTTAGATTTCTTATTAGTATTACACTGGTGTGCAAAAATTAAGGACGAAGTCGAAAAATTAGCATATCAGCTGAACGAAGAGGCAGAGCGGACAGAAAGACAATGAGGAGATTAAGTAAGGTAATATACGGTAGCACCTGCGCAGATATGCAGGTAGACGTAATGGGGGAGTGTCTGAGTAGTATAAAGCATGTTGTCGGTGTAAGATCAGTATTTCTGGCAAAAAGATTGCACGCCGTATAGCAGTTAAAATCACACTGAGTTGCTGCCTCAGCGAGAAATGGCGAATAATCAATCTGTTAGACGACATCTGGATGCTTTTACCCGAGGTCGAATCATTGGGAAGTTGGAGGAAGGCCGCAGTGTGACAAGTGTGGCTGCAGAGTTCGGAATTGCTCACAGCATCGTTTCACGACTTTGGAGACAATTTCAAACTACAGGAACAGCTATCCGGGGGTTTAGTAGTGGTCGTCCACGAGGAACCACACCCGCAGATGACCGGTATATTGCCTTACAGGCCAGAAGAAACAGGCGGCAGACAGCGGGAGAAATCGCTAGACACACGACACAGGCGACTGGACGACCGATATCGCGTTTTACCGTGGCCAGAAGACTGCATGGTGGTGGTCTGTTTGCACGACGCCCTGTACGGTGTGTACCTCTAACGCCTGCCCATCGGAGAAGGCGTTCTCTGTGGTGCCGGGAACACCGGAATTGGAGAGACAATGAATGGGGACGAGTACTCTTTACAGATGAGAGCAGATTCAGTCTGAGTAGCGATTCTCATCGCATACTCATCTGGAGACAGCGGGGAAGCCGCAATCATCTTTCGAACATCATTGAAAGGGACAGGTATGGAGGTGGCGGTGTTCTCGTTTGGGGAGGCATCATGCTTGGTAGTCGTACAGACCTTCACATCTTCGACGCAAGTTCAGTCAACGGGACCCGTTATTGTAACGAGATTCTTCTTCCATATGTGCGTCTTTTTAGAGGCGCTATGGGTCCGCAGTTCCTTTTCATGGACGACAATGCACCATGTCATCGCACAGTAGCTGCCGAACAGCTCTTAGAGAGTGAGGATATTGAACGTATGGATTGGCCGGCACGATCTCCGGATCTCAATCCCATCGAGCATGTATGGGATTTTCTAGGCAGACGCTTGGCAGCTCGTACCTTACCACCAGTAACGATTCCGGAGCTTCGATTGGCGCTGCAAGACGAATGGGCAGCAATGCCTCAACAACTCATTGACACCCCAATTCTCAGCATGGGCAGACGCTGTGAAACCTGCCTAGCAGTCAGGGGAGATCATATCCCCTATTAAAGACCGGATGTTTCTTGCTGGACACCCATCACAGGGATGTTTCGGCCTTCAGTCGCATTGCGCTTCATGCTACTTTTTCAATAAAGCTTTTTTTTTATCCCTCTGATTTCTCTTTTAGTAAGTGTTGCTTACATTACTTATGTCCTTACGTATTGGGGATCTTACGGTATTAAATGTGTTCATTTGGAAAGCTTTTGTACAAAGTTATATTGAAAAAACAGTCTCGTCCTTAATTTTTGCAAACCAGTGTATGTTGGCAGTGTAACAACGCAAAGACGTTACAGTGTCTAACGGTATTTTGCATCGAAAGCCTGTATCACTTTTCAAATCCCGTTTTGAATCGCCCGTAAAAAAAATGCCTCTTTGGGCGTAATATAATATCTGAAGCTTTCAGATTTTATGATTTTTTTTAAAACTTTTATTTCAATTTTTAATTTAATTAACTTCAACCATATTTACTTTTTTATCAAGGAATTGAGATAAAATTTTATACTTTTCGCACACAAAACAAATGCTTTTTTACATAAATAATATTTTTTATTCATTTTTTTCTAAAACATATCATATTAAAAATCAGTTAAAAATCCGCTCGGGACATAATGTAATGAATCAGTTACAGTTCAAAATACAAAGGCTAGGATTTATTTGAATATTTTTTGCAGCTTCGAAATTTAACAGAAAACCGATAATATGCTTGCAAAGAAATGTATGTATAAATGCACAAAATTTCAGTTGCAGCAGTAAACTTTCTGGGATGGCAAGAAGAATGAAATTTGGCATAAAACTAACCACAAACTAAATTCCGGTTATATGTAACTATGTTTTAAATAATTAATGTTTGTGATTTATTCTGCGATGGCACTGCTAGTGCCAGAAATTTTCCCCGTGAGACATAAACATCTTAATGAATAATAAGTTTGCTTTCAAGCTTAACTTCCTGTCAGGAAGAAGCATGAATTTTCTGAAATATTAGATGTTGACTAGACCTAGACCAACATTTTACGCAGCACGATGCACTCGAACTCGCAGCGTAGTTTTAAAACTAAAAGGTACTGCGACTTTTCTGTTTCTTACAATATAAATTTTGGGATTCATTAAGCACAGAATATATTTCAAAACTTAAGTTTATAAGCAGAGCTACCAGATTTATGATATGTAAAGCCGTATAGCTCAAAATTTATTTTTAATAATAACTTTCACGGTGAATATTCGGTTTCCAGCGATATAAATTTTACAAATTTTTTGTACGCAATTATTCTCAGCATTTATGTTTAACTATATAAGATATTTCTGGCCCCTTCGTGGTGTAATAGCACGCTCGACGCGTTTTCGAGAGATCCGTTGTTCGAGTCTCGGCGAAGGCACTGATAATTTTTCATCTTTCCTACTTTAAAATAACCTAATGACTCTACAGTGGCGCCCGAACTAAAAAAAGGTTGTGGATGATGATTCTCCACCACCTGGATTTGGCGACTGGGTCCCCTAATCCCCAGACACTGGAGTATCCCAGGCGCTCTTTAAAAGGGGAAGTATCTTCAAAAGGAGCATTTCTGCCGCCTTCTTAGCATACCTTCGTGGTGTAATGGTCAGCACGCTCGGCGCGTATTCGAGAGGTCTGTGGCTCGAGTCTCGGTGAGGGCATTGCTCATTTTTCATCTTTCCTGCTTTAAAATAACCTAATGACTCTACAACTAATACAAACGAAATTAATTCACATGAATAATTTGGTGCGTTTTTCGCGTCCAGAAAACATTTTTGTCAGTGCAAAGTAATTTTTGAGTCCGAACTCGAACTCAGCGTTTTTAAATGTTTTATCATTTGAAAATGAGCCTCTCTAGTTAGTCGTTCGATCAGTAAGAAATGATTTTCAGAATGGTTTGCAAGTAAAACATGTAAAAATATTAAAATAACTGCTTTTATCAGTCGATCGGAAATGTACTAAAAATTATCAAAACAAACTGAAAAACTTGGAAATTGCTCAAGTGTTTAAATTAGAACAAAACTCTTCATTTCTCAGGTCCATACTTAAAGGAAACTGATCCCCTGTCAAGCTTTCGGTTGAATTATATTTCCTTTTAATTATGTTTACTTAAAATTGTAGCACCTACGTCTATGTTTGGCTGAGGAAATGACATTAGTAAGGAAATCTTCAGATATCTTTTATTTCTGACTTTCTATCATTTATGTTACTTTTAAATTTCTTGTTTTAAAATTTAAAATGCATATTCGTTACCGCCACTTTGTAATCAAACAAAAATATCATTGTTATTATTTATTTATCTCTTAATTTCTTACGTATACTTCAAGTGCTCGTTTCCAATTTAAGTTTCATAATTTATTTTTGTACTAGCGGAAGACCGCGATGCCAGTTAAGTTAGCTTCAGAGTAATGCGTCTAACAACAGAGAGAAAGATACCGCTGTAATCCTCTCTAATAACCATGCAAACAATACGATTCATAATTCAAAGTCAAACAACAAAAGTCAGCGTTATATTTTCAAAATTTTCACAGGACTAGTTTCGATGGTTTTACCGAACCACCATCCTCAGCTGCAAAACCGCAAATGAACGAGATAGAATATAATGATTAGATAAGATAAGAAAGCCTGAACAAGAATAAGCAAGTGGCGCCATCTATTGATGAAATCAGAACTATAACATAATTCCTTTAAAGGCCGAAGGCAAAGATGGATTTTAATTAGGATCGTTAACTAGAACAGAAAGTTTTTTTGATTGTGAAATGCCTCTAGAAAATCCAGTTCTCCTACGGAAGATGCGTTTTGAATAATTTTGGCAGCAGAAATGATTCAAAACTTTGGAATTATAGCTCTCCTAGTTCCATGTCTTGCAGTTTTCTGTAGAGACTGATTCAAATGAAAACTGAATATTTATTTGTCGAAAAAAATTAAGACATTACTCGGTTAAAGAACTTGAATAAAAGGTTAATCAAGTTTTTTGACAGGACAATGTGCCAAGAGATCCCCTGATATATTATTTCGTATAAATGTTATGATAATATGAAAGAATTATCTTTTATTCTGTCAGACAAGATCCCTTTTGCAAACTAATCAAAGAATAACACGTCAAGTAGACAAACTAATTTGTATAAAAAAGTAAATTAGAAAAATTAAAGAGAAATTTTCTGCTGCCAAAATTATTCAAAAAGCATCTTCCGTTGGAGAACTGGATTTTTTAGAGGCATTTAACATTCAAAAAATCTTTCTTTCTATTAACGATCCTAATTCCAATCCATCTTTGCCCTTCGGCCTTGAAGGAATTATGTTATAGTTCTAGTTTCATCAACAGATGGCGCCACTTGCTTATTCTTGTCCAGGCTTTCTTATCTTATCTAATCATTATATCCTATTTGGTTCATTTGCGGTTTTGCTGCTGAGGATGATGGTTCGGTAAAACCATCGAAACTAGTCCTGTGAAAATTTTGAAAATATAACGCTGACTTTTCTTGTTTGACTTCTGAATTAGTAATTGCTCGGCGTGTTATTGTGTCTTAATACGATTTATAGTCATAAAATTTTCAGTCTGATGCGATATGGAACCCATATAAAAAATTTCGATCGTAAAATAAACTAATCCTCTCTCATTTTATCAGCAACAATGGCACGTAGTTTTTAATTGATTTTCGTCTTTCTAACCAAATGGTCGTAAAAGCTCGAATTTCGTCCAATATTTCACCTACATTCAATTTTAGTCGATTAAATGGGGCACAAAATTCATCATAACTGAACAGAAATCTATAACGCGAACAGAAAAACAGACACACGAAGAGGCATTCTCCTTTACATGTATAGATTTTATAAAACTTACTGATTTTTGTATTAGCAAAATCTACGATTAGAAAACGAGCAGTAGTAACACTTTTTGAAAAAAGCATTTTTATCTCCAACGCGCGATACTGTTGCCACTCGGAAAATTGAGTGTAAAAAATGAGTGTTTTCAGAGTTTTTAATTAATATGTTTGCTGATTAAAGTCATGCGAGGACGGGAACAGTCAAAATGGCTTCAAATGAGTTTTTAGAATCGGGAATAATGTATTTAATGCTTGGCAATGCTATTTTTATTTCATTGTAAAACTTAAGAAATGTTTTATTAACAAACTCTACGATTTGAACGCCAGCAGTGGCAACACTTCTCGAAATAAAGCAGATTTTGATCTCCAACGTGCAAGACTGTTGCCACTCGGAAAAATGAGGACGAAAATTAACGTTTTCAGAGTTAATTTTGCGACCTCTGATTTTAGATATTAATATTATTATTATTATTATTAGGAAAAAGTCAACGTGGGCCTTTCCCAGAACCCAGAAAAGAATTTTAGAAAGTTTAGTGGCGATAGCTATATAGTAGTGACTGAGTTAATCACGAACAAACGCGAAGACCATCTTCTTTATATAAATAGACATTATGCTTCATTTTCCGAACTCACATGGGTCACTTGACATTATGAAATGGGTCACTCAGTGACCGGCGTGTCGTAAGTTTCTCGACGCCTGACATATATCATAAGGAATTCTCAACTGCTATCAGTCAGAGATCAGTTGTTGCTTACAGGCTATATGCAGGGTGTTTATAAAGTCCCGGACCCATTATGATGTTTAATAACTCATAAAATAATAAAGATAGATTAAAATTAATAACATAAATGGTTAGATAGACTCAAAAAGTTTCATGACCCTTGTCAATGAACTTCCACGTGTGCCCCCTTCGTCGCACGGAGAATATCAAGTCGATATTCAATTTCACACCAGGTACCGGCAAGCATGTCGGCATCCACAGAGGCTATTGCGGTTGTAATTCTGGCTTTTAGGTCATCCATGTTCGACACTCTCCTCCTGTAAACGTTGTCCTTTACAAATCCCCAAAGAAAAAGTCCAGCGGCGTTATATCAGGTGATCTGGGTGGCCAAGGAATTGGACCTCCTCGCCCAATCCATCTTCCTGTAAAATGGTCATTCAAAGAACTACGAACGATGGTATCCCAATGAGGTGGTGCACCATCTTGTTGCAAAAAGACATGTGGCTGAAGCTCTTCTGGTTGTGGAAATACGAATTTTTCCCAACATGTCTAAGTATACGACAGATGAGAACCGTCTTTTTTCTGTAAGAAAGAAAGTCCCAATGACTTAGCCGTGCATTAGTTCACACCAAGCATTAGTTCAAACCAATGGTGCATTAGCTCCACACCATTTTTTCAAACATTAACCTTTGGGGAAATCCCTTTGTGCCTCACGGTATTTCATGGGGGTTTTTCAGATCCCCACATATGCGCACATTATGGCGATTACAAATGCCAGAAAGATGGCCAAAAACAAAAGAGAGAAAAATGCAATTAATAAGCTGACGATATTTAGAAAAGTACAGATATTAGACTGGAAAATGAAGTTATCTGAAATTAACCACACGCGCAGACGATATTTATAAAAGCAAAGATATTCAAACCTGAAAAGGAAAATATATAAATTATTCTATCAATAAATGCGATAAGTTTGATTATATCGTCATTATTTTATGAGTTATTAAACATCAAAATGGGTCCGGGACTTTATAAACACCCTGTATTTACTTGAATTTAAAACGACATCTAAACCTAAACGAAATCATGTGATTTACCTGAATCGGTAACACTCTCCACCGAGGGTAGGAAGCGCCAGTGCTTGTTTCTGTCTCCATTCTAGTTTGGGGGCGCTTAAAAACAGGTCTTTCTACTTTAAATGGCATTCGTCTGCCTACATCTGGGTCTTTGTAATCCATCATGGAGCTTGATTGTGTTTCCATTGGCCCGTCGCCTCCCATTTTTATATTGGACGGCTGGTCCTCCTTCTTCCTTCCAAGCTGCTGCCGAATTTCAGGATGCCACACAAATTCCTTTCTATGAGTGGTTTCCGAGGACATGGGTTGCTCACTGAAGCTGTGATTTCCTTCTTTTCTGAGGGACTGCCTGTTAAAATATACAGGATATTTCTCCACAGGGTCTTCACACATTTTTGTAAAAATTTTCATGTTATTAATTGATTTTTAATTAATTTTAAAATACAGAAGTGACTGCCATCAAATTGGAATAAGGTTATATCGTCTACAGCAAGGATGTCAAACTCGCGGCCCGCGGGCCGCATGCAGCCCACAACAAATATTTTTGCGGCCCAGCCAATATATCGGCAAATAATAATATAAACATATCGACGAAGAAAAAAATGAAATGTTTACTGCTAAGTAATTAACGATCATTTATTCAGTGTTGTTAGATTACTCACAGCGAGCTGACACACACACTACTTAAATTACAAATGCGTGTGAGTAGCTCGCGTTCAGCTACCTTCGGCTTTTGGGGGACACGTGCATTCAGAACTTGTACGCTTGAACTTTTACAAATATTAACCAGCCAGGTTTGAAAATACTCGAAAATTCGCATATGAAATTATTTCCATGTTTGGTAGCACTTATCGGTGCGAGCAGTTATTTTCAGTCATGAAAGGTAATAAGTCTCCTATTAGAAACCGTATTAATGATGCTCACCTTGGGTCAGCGTTGAAAAGTTATCACTGCAAACAAAATTCTCCCTCTCCCGAAATAGGAAAGGTAATAGCAGAGACGAGATGTTCAAGTATCAGGATGTAAACATTAAATTTTTCTTGTTCTTTTCTATATAAATATATATATATATGTTTATTATTGTATTATTTGAAATAATTCTACGTTTCTTTTCTATGAACATTGATTTTTTTTTTTTTTTTTTTTTTTTTTTTTTTTTTTTCGGGCCCGCTTAAAGTTAAACCTTGTTTGTTTGTCCCAAGTGTACCTATGAGTTTGACATCCCTGCACTACAGTGTTGCCACTGCTCACTTTGAAATTATTGAGTTTTTAATCTAAAATTCGTTAAAGTTAGACAAAATATGAAATAGACAATAAAACTAATTCCAAATATCAAATTCGGACTTTCCGGTGCCTATGTTTGACATCCCAGGTCTACAGCATTAAAAATACTCTTTTCTTTAAAATGTCGCTGAAACATAAATAATGAATCGAAGGCCATATTTCTGCGCAGTTTGAAAAGAAGTACTCTTATCCAATTATTAAAAAAAATCTGATGTGTACACCAAACGACTTCCTTGTACGGAATATTAAATTATACGTATTTTTTCTTGCATTTCATTTAATCTTATTGGATTGAATTAAATCTACTTCGCCGACAGCGCATAAACCACAATAAAATAAATGCACTCTTTAAAATTCACTCTATTTGTTTACCATAGCGACACTCTGGCGCTAGGTTCACGTAACAGTATTTTATTTCGTTAATATTATAATTCAGAATGCACAAAATTTATATCATTTAAAGAATTATCTAATCGTTGCCACCTGTTCCATTCAAATACTATAATAAAGGTATAAGGATGTATAAAAGAAATTAAGCAAACAAAACAAAAAAGAAATAGTTTTTCACAGACGATTCAGTATTTTTCATTCAATTAATTCAGTTCTCACTTCGCGGCAAGGCAAAAAACACATAAAACCTCAAAACATCTTTATTAAAAATTGAAAAATATATAAAAACCATAAAACACCAAAAATTAGAATACAATTAAAATTAGAATTTCTACTAAAAAATAAGCAGTTCGGCCAGCCGGTAAAAAGACACATTTTTCGGTGCACAAAACTGGAAGATTACTTTTGGTCCTATTCAGCAAAAAGACACTGAAAGTGCAGAAACTGACTTAACTCTACTATTCTGTTAAGTTTCAAATGTAAACAAATATGGCTGCTATAGCAAAAAAAAATTAGGCTTAGCTACACTTAAACAACGCTTAAATAGTTGATAATTCTGCAACAATTGCAGGCAGATTACGTAAAGGCATAAAAACCTTACCGGAAAATAAGAACAATATAATTCAATCATTTTTTTTAACAAAAAGTGCACAATTTACCGATTTATAAGAATAAAAAAAAAACATAGCTCACGGAGAAAGGTAACAGAATGGATATATGTTTATATACTTTTGGTGCAGCCGATTCCAACCAATAAAGGAGGTGCACCACTACATGTTATGGGAGTTCTATATAAAAAATTTCAAAGTTGTGATGCTACCTGTTTTTGAGTTATGCGAGATAAATGCACACATACATACGTAAGTACAGATATCACGAAAAATATCTCTTTTAAATCCATTTTAAATTCTTTTTGCAACCCCCGTTTTGGGGAAAAGAGTCCTCTTTTCTGTCCTTACGTACAGATGTCACGGAAAAACATCGTTAAATTGCAATCCGTAGCAATTAAATTGCAATTCAACGCGATTCTAAAACCTCATTCCGGTAGGGAGTTGTAAGTGGAAGCAAGGATCGATAGGAAAGCACTTTAAAATTAAAATAACTGTAGCTAAAAGAAATATTTAATTACCTGGGAAGGACTGCGTGCGGAATGTAATCTAGCCAGTAACTGGTAAATTTGGACAAAGGTTGTTTCGTTTTTTCACTTTGATGTTTAATTTCTGTAATAGGAGGGCCGAGGTTGAATATTTCTTTGTGAGGAATTAAACAATTTCTTTTAAATGATGATTCCCTTTCTTCAGCGCAAAGCTCAGGACAGTAATACATATGGAGGCGATCTGCAAAATAAAGTTAAATTTTTCATTTATTTAATATACACTGACTACCAATAAGTATTTGGACACCTGTGATAGAAAAGAAAAACTAACTTTATTCAAAATCAATAGTTGGTAGAGCCTCCACGAGGGTAATTAACAGCGGGACCCTCCGGGGCATACTTTCCACAAGTCTTTGTATGACAGCTGGTGGTATTTTCTTCCCTCGCCTTGGAGAAGACATAGAAGTTCCTTCACCGATTTTGCACGGGTAGTGCACCCCTGAATTCCGCGATGCAACTCGTCCCAGGGTTCTCGATAGGGTTCGGGTCTGACTCTGGGCAGGCCAGTCCATCGATGAACTCCATTGGCACCATACCAAGCCTTGGTTAACGTCGAAACATGACAACTAGCATTGTCGTCCTGAAAGTAACAGGGGTTCCACCCGTAAAACTGCCACAACGTAGGAAGCACATTGTCATCCAAAATAGTGCAGTAGAATCGGAGTTGAGCTTACCATGAAGGGGACCAAGGGTGACAGCCCATACCAGGGAGAAACCCCCAGACCACAATTCCACCTCCGCCGAACTTGACTGTTGGACAATGCATTCTGGCAGGAGACGTTCTCCAGGTAGACGCCAGACCCAGATCCTGCCATCCGAACGGTAAAGGCTGAACCTTGATTCGTCACTCCAAAGAACCCGTTTCCACTGATCTACGGTCCGATTTAGATGTGCTTTCCACCACATTAACCGAGCAGCGCGGTTGGACTTTGTGATCAAAGGCTTATGGGCAGAAGCACGATCATGAAAACCAAGCAGATGTGCTTCCTTACCGATGGTATTCATTGAAACAATACTCCCGGATGCCTGTTGAAACTCCTCGCGAATGAGGGCCATCGGTTGGGTGCGGTTCTTCCAAATTTCTCTGGACAGCACTCGTCGGTCTCTATCACCCAGTTTCGTTGGTCTGCCGACTCGGGGCACATTCCGACAATCACCGCTCACCTTCCACTTCTTAATCACATAGGCCACCGTCGATTTTGGGTACTTCAGATCTCTAGATATGTCCCTTAAGCAACGGTCACATTTGTGACAGCCGATAATTATACCTTTCTCGAAATCAGAGAGCTCCGAACTGCGAGGCATCTTGCATGCGACTAAAGTCGATGCTGTTTCCTACACGATATATACCGGCGGAATCTGTGACGTACCTTAGGACCGCAGATATCGTCATTTGCATAGGTGTCCAAATACTTATTGGTAGTCAGTGCATGCGATCCAGTTTTAATACTCTATGGATAATGGTTCCCAAGTAAAGGAGTACTGATTAAATTGAAACCGTTGTAGTTAAAAAAATATCATACTAAAAAAAATCATTTTTCAATTTTGTAACACTTTTCCTAACTTCATTCCAAAAAATTGTTCCTTTTTTTCCTTAGGGTAGGGGTTATAAGGTATTTCTCCCAGTTCCATAGTTTGCCTTCGTGGTGTAACGGTAGCACGCTGGGCCGGTATTCCGAGCTCGTCTTCGATTCCCGCGAAGCGTTGCATATTTTTCATCTTTTCTGCTTCCAATTAACCTAATGACTACGAAGGTATTTCGAAAAATTTCGGGTATCATATTTCAACCAAATTATCTATTTTGACCGCTCTCGATTCCCTTTGAATGGCGTTTTTGCATTACATCTGTATGTACCAACAGAAAAAAACACTCTTATCCCCAAAACGCATTGTGAAATGGATTTCAAATGGATTCAAAAGAGATTTTTTTCATCATGTCAGTATATACGTACGTACGTATGCGAGTTACATACATACGTTAAGTACGTATATATGTAGATCGCATGACGTAAAAACGAGTAGCCACAGAACGTTGAAATTTTGTACATGGGAGTTCTATAACATATAGTTGCGCGTTTCCCTTTCTGGCTGCAATCAACCAGGCCGAAAGTATATATATATCCTCTGTTACACGGCTCGCTGAGCCAAGTACTTTTATTCTTAGATGTTGGTAAATTGTGCATTTTTTGCTTTAAATGTGATTAAATTATATTTTTCTTATGTTCCAGTTAAGATCTTTGTGCCTTTAGTGACATTAGGTCATTTCGGAGTAGAAGAGATGAAAAATGAGCAACGCCCTCGTCGGGAATCGAACCACGGACCTCTGGAATACGCGCCCAGCGTGCAGACCACTACACTACAAAGGCATGCTAAGAAGGCAGGAGAAATACCTTATATACTCCCGCTTTTAAAGGGCGACTGGGATTTTAAGACGACCCAATCGCCAAATCCTGGGTGGGAAGAATCATGATTCACCACCCTTTGCGTTCAGGTGCCACTGTAGAGACATTAGGATTCTTTTTGGAAGCAGGAGACTTGAAAAATGAACAACACCGTCCCCGGGTATCCAACCATGGACCTCTGGAATACGCGCCGAGAGTGCAGACCACTTACACTACGAAGGCATACTAAGAAGGCGGGATAAATACCTTATAATCTGCATGCAGTAGTTGTAGAATTACCTACAACTTAAAAGTTGTTTAAATTCCACTAAGCCTAACGACGCCGCCATTTGTTTACATTTGAAACATAGCAGCACAGTGTATTAAGTCAGTTTCTGCACTAACTTCATTGTCTTTTCGCCAAGTGAGGCCACAAATTTTGTACACCGAAAAATCTGTTTTTCTGCCTAATTGTAATTAATTTAAATTCTAGTTTTAATTGCAGAAATTGTTTTTAACGTTTTTTAATTCTATCTGATGTTTTATGTTTTTCCGTATCTTACAATTTTTAATGAAGATGTTTTGAGTTTTTATAAATTTTTTCCTTGCCGCGAACGGAATTGATCGAATGAGAAATGTATATGTAATTTGCGGAAATAAATTTAAATGAAATGCAATAAAAATTATGTGCATAATTTTATAGGCCATACAAGTCATGTGCTGTCCACATCAATTTTTTTTTTTTTTTTTTTTTTTTTTTTTGAGTAAGTTACAAAAGTGTTTTAAGTAAAATATTACATTTAGTCTACTAGTCAACAAATTTTGCTTACTTAATTATGCTGTTCTAAATGTAAACACAATTATCTTTTCAATTCGAATTTCCCCTCAAGTGTTTATTTTTATAGCTCAGGGTTTCGTTTACAATACTTTGTTTCTTTAACTGGCTAATACAGAAAGATACCACCTACTTTTCTGTACAAGAGTTTTACATTTTTAGCCACTTTAAGGGGACTCATTCACCTTAAAACCCATAAGATCTTCGAATATGTGACTGTTGCAAGAATTGATATAAGTTATTTATTTTAAAAGATATTACTTCCAACTTTTTACAGATGACTACATAATATAGCTGCTTTCTGAAATAGTAATCAGAAAGTTTGTGTTGCCACAGATATTTTTATAATTTAATCCGCTTTGTGACAAAATTTTTCGTCGTGTTTCCACCTTGCGCGCACAGTTTAAAACATTCTGTTGCATAATTTAATTCTATATTTAATATATAGCTTTTACAAAAATTGGAAACCACTGTGAACCTAAAATTCTAAGAATTTCATGTTAAATTTTTATTTATTGGGAGTTGAGTTTACAAAATATATTTTATTAAAAAAAAATCTGTAATATTTTCGTGCATAAATTTTTTTTAAATACTAAAATTCATCAAAATTTTGATTCAGTTAGAAAATACCGCTCATATAAAAAATTCTATGAAATTTCAAGTACGTACCATTAACCATTTTTAAATTATCATGCGCGCAAGGTGGAAACCTGAAGAAATATTTTGTCACAAAGCGGATTAAATTACAAAAATATTTGTGGCAACACAAACTTTCTGGTTACTTTTTTCTAAAGCAGCTATATTATGTAGTCAGCTTTAAAAAGTTGGAAGTAATTGCTTTTAAAATAAATAAAATATCCCAATTCTTGCAACAGTCACATATTCGAAGATCATAAGGGGTTTAAAGTGTATGAGCCCCTTAAAATGGATTAAAAAAATTCTTATGTTACATATAATTATAATTAAAATGAAATTCTTATGTTACATATAATTTCCTTATTTAATCTTGTAAAAACTTAAGAGAATATTTTGCAGTTTACTTTTCAAGTTTTATTTGAATAAATTTAAGTTAAAAAATTTCTTAGTATTATCTTACCCAACTTTCGTTGAGTATCTTCTTTTGAGGGCTTTGCTAGATCTTCCCAAGTGTCTCCTGAATTTCGAAGCTTCATACGTCTGAGTGCCGTGCTATCCGACATCCATGGTACGAAGTTTGTGGAATATATACTTCTGTCTTCCATACACCCCGATTCTGTTTTCAAATTGTCTGTTTTCCTCTCGGTTTCTATACACTGCAATTCTGGAACAAGAGGTTGGTCACAAAAATCTCGTTTGTAAGTGGTTTCTTTGTAGAGTTCACTGGCAGGAAGTTTGTTGTAAGCCTAAGGGAAAATTATTTTCACAGAATTATAATCATACCATTACAAATTACCGTAAGTACTATCACTCAAAGAAAACGTTTTAAACATCTTATATTGAAATATGGTTTTGGAGTTTACTTGCTTCTTTCTATTAAAATTGAGTTTTTATTAGCCAGAAAGGTCAATTTGCCCAGAAGAGCTTTTAATTTCGTTTTGGCATTTTGCATTGGTTTACTATAAATATGTTCAATTTTCAAATTGTTGCCACCAAATATTAGAGCCCTGCATTATATTTAAAGAAATTAAATAATGAAGAATCTGCATGACTGGTTCTCGCACTGTAAAAAAACAACGGTACATACAGACATCACGTAATCCTCCACTCGCATCTGGAAGATCAAATTTGGAATTTGGAATTTGTTTTATTATCTATTTCATATTTTGTTAAGCATTAAAGAATTTTTGATTAACAGACTCAAGGATTTCACAACGAGCAACGGCAACACTGTACGGGGAAAAAAAATGTTACATTTTCTCTTAGATTTTTTTTCAGTTTCACCAAAGTAAAAAAAGCATTCTTGAGACACCATGCATTTTTAGACTTGAAGATACTGTATCTCTTAGATTTTTCTTCAGTTTCACGAAAACAGAATAAACATTCTTAAAACACCCTGCATTATATATTTGAAGGCAATGTATCTTTTAGATTTGCCTTCAGTTTCACAAACGTAGAAAAAGCATTCTTAAGAAACCATGCATTTTAGACTTAAGGATACTGTATCTCTGAGATTTTTCTTCAGCTTCACGAAATTAGAACAAGCATTCTTAAAAGCCATACATTTTACACTTAAAGACACTGCATTACTTAGATTTTTCTTAACTTTATCCAAAATAGAAAAAGCATTCTTAAAAACCCATGCATTTTATACTTGAAGACACTTTATCTCTTAGATTTTTGTTCATTTTAACCAAAATGGAAAAATCCTTCTTAAAAAAAAACCATATATTTTATACTTGAAGACACTGTATCTCTTAGATTTTTGTTCAGTTTCACCAAAGTAGAAAAAGCATTCTTAAAAAACCCATGCATTTTATACTTGAAGACACTTATCTCTTAGATTTTTGTTCATTTTAACCAAAATGGAGAAAGCCTGCTTAAAAAACCATGCATTTCATATCTCTCAAATTTTTCTTTGTTTCACCAAAACAGAAAAGGCATTCTTGAACTTTATTTATGCCGCTTGAACGGTATTTTGGTTAAGGGACCGAAACGTCGTCGCATGAACCTCCGACCTAAGGTTCTACACCAAATCAGAGTTATGTCCATGCGACGGAAAAGAATCTACCATCCATCGCCGGCGGCATTCACTGAATCAATGATAGTGATATTACAATGCTAAATTGACAATGTCATCTATACAATAATCGTTACGTAAGAATTCGTATGAAAAATAAATATACAATCAATAAATCATTACATTGTCATGGATAGGATCTATGTTGTGGGGAGTGGAACCAGTTTTTAAACCTATGTTTTCTTCAATACGTCAGAATTTTCCTGTTCTTATCAGTTACACACCTAATGATTGTGTGTCCGTATTATTGTTGCAACTATCCACAGAGTAGGCCAGTCACATCAGTTCAGGCAGTGGATAGTTCCATAGCCCAAAGTATATGATGTTGTGTACACTATTCTATGCTCATATAAACTGGATTCTAAGTTAACTTTTGATAAATTCGAAGTACACGTTTGTTAAGTTCGAAGTACACTTTTGTTAAGTGAGTAAGTAGTATTTACGTGAACAATGGTTCTCGAAAATACTACTTGTCCACTTCGATACATCATAACTTCGTGTCCTTAACAGTTTGCACACCTCATTATGTGTGTCCATAGCAATTTGCACACTGTGTCGCAGTTATCCACAAAGCAATCGCGAAATTGCAGTTGGGAAGTTCATTGTAATATATAAACTATTTTACTATTATCCACAGAAGCAAATGTTTTGTAAATAATAACTTGGCTCCCAGATGATAAAAAAAATATGATGTGTAGACCACATGACTTCCTTGTACGGAATATTAAATTATACGTATTTCTTCTTGCATTTCATTTAAACTTATAGGATTGAATTAAATCTACTTCGCCGACAGCGCATAAACCACAATAGAATAAATGCATTCTTTAAAATTCATTCTAGTATTTGTTTACCATAGCGACACTCTGGCGCTAGATTCACTTAACAGTATTATATTTCGTTCATATTATAACTCATAGTGCATAAAATTTATATCATTTAAAGAATAGAATTATCTAATCGTTACCATATGTTCTATTCAAATACTATAATAAAACTAGAATGATGTATAAAAGAAATTAAGCGAACAAAACAAAAAAGAAACAGTTTTTCACAGACGATTGAGTATTTCCCATTCAATTAATTCAGTTCTCACTTCGCGAGAAGGCAAAAATACATAAAAACTCAAAATATCTATATTAAAAATTACGAAGTAAATCTGAAACACTTATTTCCTCGAAAAAATTCCAGAAAGAATTAAGCATGATTTAATTCGCAATAATAAATGAAGGCGTTACTTTTTTGTTGCGAAGCTAAGTTTCTCTACATTGGCAACAAATCCACTACTCTGCTGTTTCAAATGTTAACAAGCAATGGCCGTCATCAAAAAAATTATTAGGCTTAGCGGCATTTAAAAAAACTTTAAAATTGTTGATAATTCTAAAAATATTGCATGCAGATTTATGCAGGCATAAAAACTTCAACCGGAAGATAAGAACAACATAATTCAATAATTTTTAAAGCAAAAAATATACAATTTACAAACATATAAGAGTAAAGAAACTGACATCACTGAGCCGGATAGCAAACTGGATATATATATAAATATATTTATATACATTTGGCAAGGCCGATTGCAACCAAAATACGAGGTGCACATTTACATGTTATAGTAGTCCTATATACAAAATTTCAACGTTCTGAGGCTACTTGTTTTTGAGTTGTGCGAGATAGGTACGTGTGTACACAAGTACGTACATACGTTCGTACAGACGCCCCGAAAAATTCTCTTCAGAATTCATTTTAAAGCAGTTTTATAATTTTTTTGGAGGAAACGAGTCTTTTATTCTGTTCTTACGTACAGATATCACGCAAAAACATCGTTAGATTGCCTTCGATAGCGGTCAAAATGGATATTTTCGTTGAAATATGCTGCCTGAAACTTTTCGCGATTACAATACTTCCTTTTTACTTCGTACAAGGAAGTGAAAACAGAAAGAAAGAAAACTAATTATTAAATTTTTTCAATACAATTCTAAATTGTGCAAAACTACAGATTTGGTATACAATTCCAGTCTATACAAATTGACTGGTATTCCAACAATATAAAGCACAAATTCTAAAAAATGCTATTATTGATTCCATTGCATGTATCTAATTGTTTATAAAAAGGCTACAATAATACACAATTTCTTCAAAGGTTTAAAACGTCTAATGGAATTATATTCCCAATTATAAATAGACATAAAATACATATTTATTCAGTACATATTATTTACCAATCATCGTATTATAAAAATGCACATGTTTCAAATGCTGCAACTGATTTTTCATTACAGTTAGAATATTTACCAATCAATCATACTTCAAATGTACATGTTTAAAAAAATTGGTTAGGGGACCCGACAACGATACCGAAGAGCCCTGGTTCGAATCCTTGCAGAAGGCGTTGGATGTGAATTGTCTGCCCCCTCGTGGGAGGGAACATTGGTCTCCTATTAGGTGCCTACGCAATAAAATAGCTATCACTTCTGGCCTTAGGAGTCCAATGCTGAAAAAAGGCAAGTGCTCGCTTTTCAGTTGAAAAAAAAAAAAAAAAAAAGACTTTATTTAATCTAAATGATTTGCAAAAATAACATTAGAGACCATTTTTGTTTAAAATACTGTTACGGATTTTGTTTTTGGTTGCTAATTTTTTTAGTAGAATTGTAAATGAATTCTTTCATTTCCCCGTGCGGGTGCAGCGAGTGACGAGTTTTGAGAGAAGGCTGTGCCGAAGAGGTGGAAATGCAGGAGAACGCGCATTTAACATTTATTGAATAGATATCTCGTAATTACTTTTGCTTTCCAGAAGACTTGAGAAATAAGGGGGTTACCAAAATGTTCTCGTACAGGATTGGGAAGCTTATAAAGGCCGGAGGGAGGCATCTCAGTTCAGTTGCTTACTTCGTTCTTGTTACTTAACCCTTTCAGGCACGCTACCTTTTAAAGTTGAAGTTTTGATAAAAAAACCAAAAAGGTAGGCAGTCTAATTAGGCCTAGAGGAGTACACAAGTAAAATTTTGTGAATATAGCACTTACTGTTTTAATTCTATGGGTGTACCTAAAATGGTACACTTATTGAATAGAGCTTCGTAAAGAGTGCTGAAACGAGCATTGTTGTCAATGAACTGACCGATGAGATACGGAGAAACAAAGAATAGAGACTCTCAGTTGTCCTAGATAATCGGTGAGCCCGGTCTGGGCAGAAATAGGGTTCGCCGTTTGATTTTAGACAAGATTTCAAGGTAAAAACTTAATATAGAATAAGGAGATTAGCATACAGCCAAAAAAATAACATAGAAACTTCTTTTCAAACAATTACTTTTATACCCTAAAATAAATCTGGAAGATTTCTTTGAAAAATGAGGGTCTTAAAAAACTAAACGTGGCTTAAATATATGGACTGGTTTGTGTTGAGCTGCCATTTACTATAAATAAAGAAGGTTTAGAGTAACCTATAATAACCTATAAATCCTTTTTCATTCAATTTTTCTATGCGTACAGAAAAATATTTTTAGATGTGTCCATACCAGACACACTGTGCCGCAAAGGCACACTTAACACTTGTTCTTGTTTCTTAGCTGTAGCGAATTCGCGGTGATATGGGATTAGCTTTCACTGCTTTGAATTGTGTTATATTTAACGTTTTAGTAGATTAAAATACACTGCTCGACATTGAAAATG